TAGCTAGCAGTACGATTTAGTCCCGCAATGTGAATGTTTTCGTGTTCATTGTCTGTGAAAACAATCAATTTCTAAAGAAATGAATAATGGTAATAATTTTGAACTTGCGTAGCGGGACTAAATTGTCGGGCTGGCTACGCCACTGATGATAAATATTTACCATACATACATACACACACATACCAGTGGTGTAGTGGAAGGAGGTCAGGGGTGCTGAGCCCCAGTTGCTAAAATTTTCATTCAGTTCGGGCGACTCAGCCCCTTGAGATTCTTGGCAAGACTGAAATAGACTTTGAAAATGCAACACATTTTTACTAATTTGATACGATTTGGCATTCTTCTACAATTAAAATACCGCTACTGTTCCAGCCATTTATTTCTAATTGCTTTTTGAAATCACACCGGTAATGCTATTTTCCATATATCCAGGATGGTAGTATGAGTAGTATAGGAACTGCCGGTTCTAAACCACTAGTTTTTCGTTCGCGTTTTCGTGAACTTTCTAGACCACCAGTTTTTAACCGAATTAATTTTAGATTTATATATTTAATTTATTCCTCGAGGGTACGCAGGATTGGGAGCATTTGTGGTTCGGGTACATTATTAACATTATCCTTTTTACTCTGTGTTGTTACTTCAACATTAATATTATTTGATACAGAGAAATTTATATCACCAGACTTCCCAGTTCTATTAGACCTCTTACGACAGCCACATATTTTACCGATACATGAGAAACATGACCGCCACTTTGACATTATACCTTATAGTACAACAAATGTTAAGCACCTGACCCTGAGTATCGAAGTGACCAGCAAAAAGACAAGTCCATACTAGAACCAGTTGGCATTGAGTGTTCCGGTTTAACTATAATACACCAGGCCAGCGTATTATCTACCAGCTCAACCTGATTTCCTAAATAGAACATACTATTACCCTTGAAAACGTAGCAAGCTGTACTTCCACCATTACTTGTGTACGTTCCATTGAACCAAGTGTGTGACAGTCTTCTTAAGTCTACTGTTCTCAGAGTAATTTCCTTCTTAACCTGTGTATATTTTCCATTAGATTGTTTTTCCCATACAGTAGCCCACAGGATTAGAGCTAGTGGTATATTTTGAATAGTTGAAAAACGTGGGAAATCTGATTTAATAGTAATTGACTCAAGGTTGAGGTCTGTCATATTATTAATAGTATCTGTTCTCCATGAAGGTGGAATCTGATCGTGACAGTAAGCATAGGACCTTGTTGCTGCAACTGATACGCCACGATAACCCCAGATCCACTCTGCGTGAATGTGATGGTTTATTCTTACGTATCTCTTATCGGCCACTGCTTGTACAAGCCCTGAGGAAGGTTTTAGGAAATTCTTTTCTACCCATTGCTTGTTAACTGCATCCTTATCATTTACCGGATCCCTTAGATCAAGAATACCACTTGAATCTCCCATATCCAAATCACCCTTTACCAGTCCACCTCTACTACTCATGAACTCGTCTGTTGCCCACCTTTTATTGACAGCAGAACCGTCAGTCGTAGGATCACCTACCCTAGTTAACTCGTAATCGTTAACGTCAAGATTACTATCTAGAGTACCACCATTTCGTTTCAGAAATTGTTTACACCAGGAGTATATAGTATTAGCAGAAAGTGCACTGGAATCCCCAACCGACCCACCTTTAAGACCTGTAATACTATAACCACCCATGTCAATATTACCGCTCATAGTAAAGCCACTGCTACTAGTTGAACTTCCACTTACATGATCGGTGACCCATTTTTTAGACACAGCAGAATTATCAGTAGTTGGCGCACCCAATTTTATTATTTCATTGTTATTCATGTCAAGGTCATCAGATAGGGTAAGTCCACTGTAAGTCTCACGCTTTTTTCTACCACCGCTAATCTTATCTTCTACCCACTTTTTATTGACAGCAGATGCATCAGCACTAGGAGCTCCAACATTTTCTATTTCGTTTCCACCCATCTTGAGAACACCAGTCATTTCATTTGAACCGTCCAATTTCAAGGCAAATCGTGAAATTTGGTTAACCACAGTTTGAATATTGGGAACAGCTATTTTTGCACCAAGGTTATTGATCGTATAAATTGAATTACTATTTGCAACGGTTAGATTACCATTTAAAGTAAATCCTGATGTAACCCACCTCTTACTAACAGCAGATGTACTCGAACTAGGGTCACCTATATTTTTAATTTTATTTCCACCCATATTGAGGGCGCCAGTCATTGTTGAACCTGCAAATTTAACATAGTTGAATCAAACGTAGATATTTTATCTTCTACCCATTTTTTGAAACAGCTTCATTATCAATCCTAGGGTCAGGTAGTCCGAAAAGTCTGTATCCAGCCATTGATATATCAGCTAACATGCGACCTCCAAGATTAACAAAATTATTATCAGTGGCCCACTTTTTTGTAACAGCAGACTGATCGGTAGTTGGATCCTTAAGATTTACGATTTTATGTCCACCCATTTTAAGATTACCAGTCATTACATTTAAACCGTTACGATGAACGAAGTGACCTAAGTGGTTATCCAGAAGGGCTTTTCTTACTAGGCCGCTAGAAGTGGAGGCATCTTTACTTGTATGTGGAACTTCATCAAATAGAACACTACCACGGATAAACTGATTATTACCACCAGACAGCTTAAGAAAGTTGCTGGTGTTTAAATTAAACCATTTCTTGCTAACAGCAGACTTGTTGTCTGTAGGATCAGCTAAGTTCTTAATCTCATGGTCCTTCATGTTAATGTCACCAGCAATGTCAAGTGGTTTATTTAACATTCCAACTACCCAATCCTTATTTACAGCAGACTTTCCAGTTGTGGGATCACCTAAAGCCTTTATTTCATTGGTTGACATATTGAGATCATTTGTAAGGATAAGTCCAGGTAAACTTGCATGACTACCTTCAACCCAGCTTTTACTGGCGGCATCACCTGGATTAGTAGGATTATCAAGATTAGTTATCTTATTACCTCCCATATTAATATATCCAGTCATTGTAAACCCTTTTGGTTTAATTGTAACAGAATCCTGTTTAGTGATCTTATCATCTACCCACTTTCTTGTGACTGCAGAAGTATCATCAGTTGGTGCACCTAAACCCTTCACCTCATTACCGTCCATCTCAATGTCACCCTTCATGGTAAATCCATCTTTATCAAACACACTACCAGTTGTTGGATCAATATTATTTACACCTTTAATATATCCCTTATAGAGAGCCATTTTTATAACATACATAATGTTTCACAGAATAGTTCTCAATATAAGAAACACAACAACAGACCCGATACCAAGTCCAGCTAAAGCACCATCAACTTGGGACTCACGGGTACTAACCACATTACGCCTCATGATAGGAACAACCTGAGGTGTAACACTTACAGAACTCCCCGGAACTTTCACATTTCCACTATGAGTATCAAGGTGGTGAACTGGTGTGCTATTTTGATGTTGTTTCTTTGGAGGATCAACTTGCTTAACACCTACATAATTTACCTTAGGATTCACACCAAATTTCATTGTATTAGTTGCCGTCTTTAGAAGGTTATTATAACCGAGAATCGGAGTTTTAAGAATAATAAAGTTCGATGGGATTAGAACTATTCCAGGGGATAGAGCAGTGTTTAGAATCACATTAGTGTCCCTCACAGCTTTCCTCATATTGCTAATTGTTGTTACTGTATTACTTTGTAAAATAGTAGACTTCACAATAGTTCTAAAGTCACGTTGTGTTTGAAGAGCCTTCGGACCGTTTCCTTCTATTGACCATCTTGTATTAGCTTGAGATCCCAGCATAGCATACACATAGGACTCAATACTTTCCTGGATAAGCTCAACACCCAACTTAGTAAAGCCATTGCTTTTTTCAGCTATGAATGAAAGGTAATCACTGCCAGACAAGGGTCCTGCACTAGTTGTAGCACCACTTCCGTCAATAATATAATTTTGACTTATTGGAATGTGTTTCCTTACAATGTCAAGGTTGACATTAAGTTTATCAATAGCATCCTTACTAACTGTTAACTTTCTAGTTGTGTAGTAAAGATGATACCTCATAATGGATGTTATTATTTTAGGAACGGAATTACTTTCACGAACGTGTTCCAAGGATACACCACTGAGATAGCTAGCTATGTAGGCGCCAGATAACATTCTAGTGTATGGTATTGTATTAAAGGAAACTTTTCTTACATCCTTATTAGTTAAATTAGGACCTTCATACCAACTTACACCAGCATCAGGGAAGTTAGACATGAAATAACTGTTTTCATTTATATAAATCTTAAAGTTGTTAAAGTTGTAGGGAAGACTTACAGGAGGTCGATATGTATTAATATGATAGCCGTCATCATGAATTAGAACTCGACTGAGGCCCAACTTTCTCTCATCGTAAATAGGATCCTTTGGAAATACAAGAAGTTTGTATTCCTGGACGGTGCCATTACTATTCCAAAGATGTGGCCATCCTTTTGGTTTAGGAGAAGGTGTTGTCATCCTGGGTACTTTCTCAATGGGAGGCTGTTTCGTGTCAGTCATAGGTATAAACTGTGCGGGGGTAATAATTTTCCTAGTACCTGTGAGATAAGATGTAAACTCCTTATCCTTCTTGAAACCGTCATATCTAATATCGTATGAACTTATACCATCTAAATCAACAAACCAAGTGATAACTCCTATATCACCACTACTAGTAGCCTTTGCTTCAAATCTAAATCTATTCATGTCAGCATGAGGGTACTTTTTAATAAATCTAGCCCTCTCAGCATTCTCTGCATTTTTACCAGCAACAGGATCAACATAGCAGTACTATCAGTTATAGCGAAAGTTTTGGAGAAAATTACATTTGATCAATTGTGTAGTTATCTTCATGGTAACAGCATAATTGCAAATCAGCAATCAGGCTTTAGGAAAAATCATTCAACCGAAACGTCCTTACTTACAGTTACAAATAGATGGTATTGCAATATGGACAATGGACTTCTGAACGGCGTTTTACTTCTGGATTTAAAAAAGGCATTTGATTGTGTAGATCATCAAATCTTACTAAACAAATTAGCAATGTATGGAATTCGTGGTATAACATTAAATTGGTTTAAGTCGTATCTCTCCAATAGAAAGCAAACTTGCAAAGCTAACAACATATTTTCAGAAATGAAACCAATTAAAACTGGTGTGCCGCAAGGCTCCAATTTAGTCCCCCTGCTATTTATTATCTATGTCAACGACTTACCTAATTGTCTAGACAGTGCTAGTGCAAGCATGTTTGCCGATGATACAAATATAACAGCAACCGGTCAGACAGTACAACAACTCCAAAGTAATTTGAATAACAATTTAGAAAAAGTACACCACTGGCTTCTCGCAAATAAATTAACTCTTAGTTACAATAAAACAGAGTACATGATTATTGGTTCAAGACAAAAAATACTAAACATTCAAGAAGAACCAATAATAAGCATAGGTAATGAACCTGTAAAGAAAATTAATAAATGCAAAACACTTGGAGTTATAATCGATGACAAATTAATGTGGAAAGACCATATAAATGAAATCAATGCAAAAGTTTCGAAAGTTTTAGGAATAATGAGAAGGATCAAATCGCTTGTAACCCAATCTGTCTTGCAAACTATATACAACAGCTTAATACTCCCATATTTCGATTACTGTAGCATGGTATGGGATAATGCAGCTAACTATAACATACAGAAACTACAAAAAATGCAAAATAGAGCGGCTAGAATTTTAACAGGGAGCGGTTACGATGCTCCTTCAAAGGAGTTACTGCGCCAACTCAACTGGGAAACGTTGGAAGAGCGCAGACGTAACAAAAAAGCATTATTAATGTACAAGGTCAAAAATGGGATCGCACCTGATTCAATAGGAAATTTGTTTAATATTTGTGATAATCAAAATTACTCTTTAAGAAGCAATTTAAACAACTTTACGTTAGATAAGCCAAATACAAATTTCTTGAAAAAAAGCATTAGTTACTCTGGTGCAAAATGTTGGAATGATCTCACAAATGATCTTAAGAGTAAGTCAATGGGCATACAGGGGTTTCAGAATAAGCCGGCGGCCGGCGGAGTTCCGCCGGCTACTTGAACTTTTACCGCCGGCTACTTTTCATCTGGTCACAGGAAAAAAATATTTACAATGGTACAAGCGAATCAACACGATGTTTGTTATGCTCCAATTGGAATTCAAGCAAAACATCACTTATTTTGGAAGATCAATATAAGATCAATAATACATAGTACCAAACATAGCTTGCTTTCTAAATTGGTATCGAAGTGAATCTTCCTGGAAGATAACTCTGGTTGACTCTGACAATGACTTAAGCATTGCCATTGGGGAATCCGAATTTGACAGTGAGCCAGAGAACCTTCAGAGCCACTTTGGTAAATGTTTTTGGCAAGTGACTAATTCTCCGACAACGAATTAATTATGATAAAGTGATGAAGTGAAAAACTCTGGGCCGTAGCGAGGGGGGGGGGTTAACCCCCACCCCCAACTTTTTTAGAATTAACATATTCGGAAAATCGGGTTGGCCATTCGGAAAATTACGGCAATAATAGTATAACAAAATTTTAGTTGTTAAACAGAGAAAATATAATATAATTGTATTGTCAGTATAAACTGATTTACGAAATCATGGTTAACATTTAACAAATCGTAAATCGGTAAATATGCATGCATACCTTTATCATTTAAATAATATACCTTCAAAATACTGACAATTGATTAATTTTAAGCGACTACATTATCCATGACAAACTGCAAAGGATTATATTACCCATACTTTCCTAGTTCAACTTCTCCATGCAATATATATTTAATTAAATACGCCTTCGCCCATTTAGTATACGTACTACTAAATTGTAAACAAATTGTAAATTTCGACATACTAAAACGCTGTTTTCTGACCATCAGAATTCTATTCTAAACTTTCCCAAAGTCCAGGAAATGGCATTTCAGAGACTCTAAATTAAAAAATTTCCTCGGGCCTGCGGCCCTCGTTCTCAGTCCCTAATAAAAAAGAGCTTCCTACGGCACGGCATGCTACTCAGCTACTGTAATATGTCTGTGCGTAGAATATGCATATTTTTGTTTGTAAATTGCGTCTTCATTTTCCGGACAGCAAACACCTTCGTGATTAAACTACAAGTAGCACATTAAAGTACATTGTCACTTACAAGTATAAATGCAAATGACATCTAACTCTAACAAGTGAACAGTTGTACTTTATCTTCTCACTTATTCTATATTATCTGATTGTTGATTTGCGTGCGAAAATTTTTTAAATTTCCATGCGAGGGCACGCCCCCCCCTCCCTGCGCGTCTTTTTAACTATCAGTCACAGCCGGCTACTTTATGGTACAACCGCCTACTTCAAATCATTCTGAAACCCCTGGGCATAAAGAGGTTTAGAGCTATTGTTGGGGGCGCAGATTAGTTTCCATATGATATTTTGAAATCATTAAAATATTCTTGTAAATAGTTATTATAGTAATTAGTAGTAGTTTGTAGTTTAAGTTTCTTTTGTATGTATATATATATGTATATATATGTGTATGTGTGTGTATGTGTATATATATATATATATATATATATATGTATGTATATGTATATGTATATGTGGATGTATGTGTATGTATATATGTATATACGTGTGAACGCCCCCTTGTGTGAACGGCCCCTTGGAAAACAGTTTTTAACTATAACTGATAGGGCTACCGTTGTTAAATATTTTTAAATAATAATAATAATAATAATAAAAAATGGAATAAGCGATATGTCCATATGACTAAACACGATATCTCACATGATTTTCCAAGAAAAAATACAAATATTGGGCTTTTCAAGTAAATAAACACTGTGAATATTGTAATTTCGGTTGATTTTAAAAATGTCAAGAAACGACCTTGGACGTACCACTCAAATTTGAATCAAATTATACTTTTTGCAAACTAATATACCCAGGCCTCATCCCTAAAGAGAAATTAGTTTGATCAGAAACAGTTTTGGGCTAATTTTCAACAGTTAACTCATTCCCATCCGGTCGAAAAGTAGCAATTTCGAGTGGTGTTGTTTCAAACGCTTATATCTCTCAAACTATACATCGCATGGAAACAGAAATTGCATCGTTCGAAAGAGCAGGACTTCTGCTTTCCAACAATACCAATTTCAATTTCATCCGGAGCTTGGTTAACGATTTACTCGCATAAATTTGCATAAATTATGATATAAAAAAATGTTGCAATTATGCATAAATGTATTTAACGGTTCAAATTTCAAATATGTCAAAAAATTTTATGAATATGACTGAAAGACACGGTTAGGATCTACAAGTACCCGAAGTTTCATGCATGTAGCATAAATAGAAATATTTTTATTGAATTTTTATATAAACTAGGTAGTAGAGTAAAATTTACATTTTGTGCCCACATGAAACAAATACCTTTATCAAAAGTCCTTTTTTATTGCTGCAACATGTTATCAATACAAATTTCCAATATTTCTTACTCTCCAAAGATAGTATGGCACCAAAATAAGTCTGTGATACCCACAAAAGAACACTCAAATCATGATTAGCAAAATGTTTTTATTTCTACAATTACTACATACATTCTTAGATAATCATTACACCATTGACTTTAGTTATTAGTGGCATAACCAGCCTCAAAATTTGGTCATGCTATTCAAATTTGAAATAATCACTACTCATTTGTTTAGAAATTGATTGTTTTCACAATCTAGAACATGAAAATATTTGCAAATAGCATGACCAAGTGTTGTTGGGCTGGCATCATCATAATTAGTAGTTATAAAAAAGTAATGTTTTCCAAGGCAGTAATGTTTGCTAAAGCAGTAATGTTTGCCAAAGCACATAATTGGATTATGTGGTGAAAATATTTCCTTTATATTGTACTACAAAAGACCTAAGACTGTAACCAAACTGATATCAGATCACCACGTCATACCCAAATCTGTTGCAATGAATATCTGGACTTCTTCCTGTATAAATTTCAAAGTCGCAATATAACCATTAGGATTGTCTGCAGCAACCCCCAGATTTATTCCCCACATAGTAGGTCATCTAGCTTTGATGAACTGCCTAACCCCCAACCTATTTCTTGATTTGACAGTGTGTTTGTCTGCAACAACAATATTCTGTGACGGCTGGTACAGTTGTTGATGCAGTTTATTGCTGTAGTCTTTAGTACTGGATCTACCATATTCACAAATGCCATAAGCGCTTTGTACCTAAGCCGAGAAATTATTTCTATTGCCCACAGACCATGATATAAGGTTTTTACACTCCAATAATTTTCAATCTCACTGTCAACTTTTAGCAAACCTGCATATACTAAAAGGCAATCAACCTCTCAAGGTTGGTGGACTGCAAGACCCTTCTTTATTAGTATATGGGGATAACTTTTGAGTTATTTGTATGTGGGCATATGTATTGGTATGGCCAGGGAACTACCTCCTGAAGCATTCCTTTAGTAAAAAAGAGTCGAATGAACTCAAGCTCACAGTTCATTGAGCCGAATGAAATCAAGCTCACAGTTGATCGAAATGGATCCTGTACATGTCAGTAAGGAGCAAAATCTGGGAGAACATTCCTAGCGTCAGGATCATCATATCCGTCATGTACTATTAGGCCTAGTGGGGATGCTAGACAGGGAGCTTTCGAAACCTTAGGTCCTAATGGCTGGGCTTCCCTCTACCTCTACTCATCCCCCTACCTTCCCTCTGGGTTGGTGAGTGGGGTTCTCATAATCTCATGACTCATCAGAACTCTACTTCCCTGAGGCTATGAAACAGGAACAGCAGATAGGAACAGGATCAATATATTGATCAGTGCAAATAAAAACTTTTATAGACATGGTGCCACTTAAAATTATAATAAGAGCCAAACTAGTAAGATATAAGTATGAATACTTGGCTATTATGTATGTAACAAACAACCAAACATGTGCTCAAGGCTCATTTTACTTCGCCTAGGAATCAGAGATTTTTATGCCTAAAACACCATAAATTTTCGTCAACAATATAAATAAACACTATTTATATTTGTCAATTTCAGTATGAAACGATTATTTCAACACAAAAAAGCGATATCAGGACATACTTGGTCGTACTAGTGAAGCTATACTAAATACAAATAAATTTACAACGCCATGGCAACGGCAAAACATTGAAATAGAAATTGTCTTGAAATCATACAAATACTTGCCTTGAAACTCCAGACACGACTCCCAATGCCAGGTTGAGATACTTGTCTTCATACGAAGACATTCCATCATTACTAGCACTATCAGTTTGCAAAATGAAGCCAAAAACGTCTTCAGAATGCGATTCAAACAAAACTACACCACAATACATTTCAACGCTTGTGCGTTCGCGTGCGCGATCATCAGGACAATTGCTCTAAAAGATTTGTTTTTCTGCCTAAGCCAATCAAAATCCGTATCTAGGGTAAACAAACACTCCGGAAGTGATTCCTGCAGTCTTTTACCAGGAAACTGTAATGCTTTACCAAGAATTTGGCGTCCGAAGTTGGCCGAACACTTTCCGATCACGAGAATTGCCATAATAGGCTTAGATTATTTTGCAATTTCCGAGACTGCTCCGAGCTATAGAATGGAAGATGGCGATTCTTTTGGTATATTTGTTATTATTATACGTTGAAAAGAAGCAAAAAGACGAGCATTTGAATCAGGCGGAACATTCAAAATGCAACAGCAAAATTGATAATGTGTCATTTGCATAAATTTCACCGCATTGATCATTTCAAGGTAAGAAATTCGCTTGAAATTGAGCGAGAAACAATAAAATTATATGAATATTTCCGAATATATAGTATCGATGAAGCGGAATTTTTCAAGTAAATAAACACTGTGAATATTGTAATTTCGGTTGATTTTAAAAATGTCAAAAAACGACCTTGGACGTACCACTCAAATTTGAATCAAATTATACTTTTTGCAAACTAATATACCCAGGCCTCATCCCTAAAGAGAAATTAGTTTGATCAGAAACAGTTTTGGGCTAATTTTCAACAGTTAAACTTGATGGCAAAGAGTAGACTGTTAAAAGTCCATTTCTGCCAAATAGTACAGTACCAGTACTTGATGGATTTTGAGAATAAAAATGTTCATACAGATTTTAAATCAACATGGATAGTGAAAATGGAATAAGCGATATGTCCATATGACTAAACATGATATCTCACATGATTTTCCAAGAAAAAATACAAATATTGGGCTTTTCAAGTAAATAAACACTGTGAATATTGTAATTTTGGTTGATTTTAAAAATGTTAAAAAACGACCTTGGACGTACCACTCAAATTTGAATCAAATTATACTTTTTGCAAACTATCAGACCCAGGGTGTATTGTGAACAACATTATAGTTAGATCAGAAGCAGTTTTGGATGATTTATAACTGCTGAAATTATGTTTTACCAATGAACCAATGGTGTAATTAATTTAAGTCACATTTGGCAAGAGCAGTAAAAACTAAATTCAAACCTATTTAGCGTTTGGATTTCAAAATCGATACATTTAATTGCAGAAAATATATCTTAAAAACAGAACATACACTGTAGTTCAATATTTCCATTTAGTTTTAAAGCTATAGCCAAACATGGTGCATTTAATCATGTCCAAATAAATCAGTAAATTTTGAAATCGTTTGTAAAAATCTGCAAAATTAATGTTGGATAACGTTCTGCCACGCTAGTTCTGTTAATATATGATTTGCTGTAAGTTGAGTATGTCAGGTTTGCTTTTAATATTTTCTAGTTTGATCAGAAGCAGATTATTGGCTAGAAATTAGTATAAATTCAACCATACCTTCCAAGGTTCCATGACAGTCCAGTCAAAACAAATGCCACTAAACATTGCATCGCTTGTAATTCTTTGTTTATTATAAATTCATCTTGATAAATCCATCTCCTTACATCTTGAAGATTAAATTGACAAATTATCTATCAAAATCTCCCCATCCAGTTGTCATTTGCATTAAAAACTGCATCATTTTCAAACGACACACTCCTCAACACGAAACGACGACGCCATATTGCCAGCATTGTTCTATGCCTTCTCAGCGTTCCGGCAATCTGATTGGTTTTGAGCGCCAAATACGCGAGTTTGTAAAAAATCTCCTCTTAAACCCTTTTTGAATTTTTTTTTTTAATAACTTAATATTTTATAATAATATAAGTGTTTTTTAAACTTTAAAACTGCCAAATTGATGGTTTATCCCATTCTTGGTGAATTTTTTTAAAGTGAAAACAGCAATTTAAATCCGGCCGGATTTGAAATCCGGTGCACCCCTATATATTGCCTGAGAAGAAACCTACACAAAATACCAGGAGCAACAAGTAAAAGAATCTTTAAAGAAGCAGGTCTGCCAGATGTACCAAAAACCACCCGAAATCGTATCCTTGGGAAGCTATGTTCCATCAAGAATATGATTAAAAGGCCTTCCTTAACACCTAGGCACAAACGTTTGTGGATTAAATGGTCAAGAAAGTATATGAAGACAGACATGAAGTTTGTTCTTTTACTGACGGGTCGAGAGCGTCACTAGATGGTCCAGATGGCTGGGCTAAAGGATGTGTTTTCTATGGTGATAATTGTCCTAACAGGATAAGGTGTCAACAAGGTGGTGGTGGGGTTATGATTTGGGGTGGAATCATTGGTCCTTTCTGCGTTCCTGAACGTCTAAAGTTGTCCTCAGCCACATATTGCCCGTTCCTGAAAAATTCACTTGAGCCATGGTTGGATAACCTTCCTTTGGCAACATTGAAGAAGATTATCTTTATGCATGATAATACACTGTCCCATGCTGCAAAGGCAACAATGCAATTTCTTCACTCACTTGGATTTGTGAATGAAACCCTGATGGTTTGGCCTCCAAACTCACCAGATTTAAACCCAATAGAGGACTTGTGGTCAATAATAAAGCATCATGTTTATGCGAATGGCAAGCATTACTCATCAAAAGATGATCTGTGGATGGCCATCAAAGAATCAGCAGCCACCATCCCTAAGTCCACCATCAAGAAAGTGACTGGTTCAGTGAATGACAGACTTTTTGAAGACATCAAACGTCACAGGGCCCATGTTAATAAATAAACTTTTTCTATGATTTGTATTGTTACATTTCTAAAAATCTGTATTTGAATTTATAAAAATTTGAAAAACTTAAATAACAATAAAAATTTGAGACAAAAACTTATTGTTTATCTCTTTTGAATGCTGTCAACATGGTTTTTCTGAAATGTAACTAATATCGTGGTTCAGTAAAAAAAAGCACATAATATATAAAACCCTTTTTTATATACTTTCGTTAATTAAACTTGATTCACAGTTTTCATAGTATAATATTTGATAAATTGAGCAGCTGTGTAGAGTTTTCAGCCAATATTTTGTAAATTCAATAAATTTTTATGACAATTTGCATTTGAACTAATATCGTGGTTCACACTGTATATATATACTGGCGTAACCATTTTCTTTCATTGTCTATTTTCTCCGTCTCGTCATAGTGAATAAATGTAATAAATGTAAATATATATTCTAATAACTACATCAAAACTAACTAAACTAAATAAAAACAAACTAAAGTCCAACTAATAAATGTATCCTTGCGTTCTTTACACAAATAACTAAGCAGAAATGAGGTTCAATTACGGTACGACATAATCATTCAGACGGTCTGGACGGCGACGGCTGTGTGATGATCTTCGTAACGGCTGCTCATTGTAATCATTTTTCTTCATCTTGTGATGGGTGAATAACAGGAGCATCCGTCTGACAGCTTGTTCCTTGTTCACTCAATTCATGCACTCCTTGTTCCTTCAATTCAAGCGAGAGTTATGGTTCTTCTGGCTGAGCAGTCGGTGGAGTTAAGGTTTTCTGAGGAGGGGTCAATATTTCCTGTGGAATGGTCATTAGAGGGGGTGGAGATGAGGAAGGAAGGTACAGTTCTTTGTCGTTGGACATGTTATCTGTGAGGTACCGTTTGGGGTTGGCTTGTACTGCAGGAGGCACTTTATAGCACTTGTTACGTTTTACTCGATATGAAGTGTTGCGTATCTGTGAACCACAAAATTTCTGGATATTGCACCATTGTCCGTCTACAGATACGATAAGATACCGATCCCTTGCACTTGACTTGTCATGGTCAGCATACAGATAGATAAGATCGCCAATATGTAAATAGGGAGGCAGCAACATTTTTCCATGCGGAGCTTTAGATTTTTCACTATAGGGATGATTTTTTACGTGTGTCTCGTGCAGGCTTGTTATCAACTGACGGTCATCAATGGGCAGCTGTGAGTTAGAGAACTGATCTTGTTGATACCACATTTCCCTGGCGGGCAGACCACAGCTTTGTATTCAGGAGTTCAGGCTTGTAGTGGCTGTTGAAAGGGCTAATGGTGATACATACCCATCTGAGGGGTCTTGTCGAAGAAGCTCGTTCTGCAGCTCTTGAACAGCTCTTTCTGCCACAGGATTCTTATTGCTGTTTTTCACTTGACCTATTTCAATGGAAAGGCGGTGACTATGCAGGAGTGGGTTGTTAACTAAGGCCTTCAAACCAGGGGCTGGATCTGTTCTAATAACGGCAGGGAGACCATCTAAAGGACGTAATTCAATACACAGACCAACTAACGCATCACGTAGAGATTGGTGACGTTCATCCTGAATTAATGTTGTTGTGGTAAAGGACGTAATACATTCACGGAGAACCAAAATTAGTTGGCGGCTGCGCTTAATTACATCTGCAGCAAAGGACACTCCGACTGTCTCGGGCAAAGGTGTAAGGTGTAGTAGACTGCTCAACTGTAGTATGTGGACATCTGATCAGGGAAGCGCAGTGATGACATCCATCTGTAATACGCTCTATAGCTTTGTCCATATCCAGAGCGAATAAATAGCGACGAGTAACCATTTTTAGTTGGTGAGCAGAGGGATGATTAAGTTGAATATGGAGTGCGGTCAAGAGGCCATCTAAGACTTGTCATGGTACGACAGTGCATTCTCGTGTCGGTAAAAGTGGCTCACTGCGCTTAACGACGAAGAGACCATCTCTTGCGATAGTGGTGACATTAAGGTAATGCTTAACATCTTTAATATTTGTAATGTTCTTTGAAGGACGTGTCCCCTGTCGTAAATGGGCATGAGTCCTGCATAAATCTGGACATTCTGCCTGTATAGACAGCCAAGCAGCTCTACTTGTGAGGGGAAGGTGTGTTTTACCAGACAGGATTTCAGTCACAGATGTGCGACAAATAACTGATGACTGTGTAGTGTTTATGAAATTACATACTTGACAAGCCATGTCTCTGCACTCGGGAGCATTACGACTTGCAAAGTCGGATGGGAGAATGGATACGCCAGCAATGTGTTGAACTAGAACCTGGTACCTGCTAATGGTGGATAGGAATGTAGATACACGAGGACTGGTGGAAAATTCACCTCTACATAACTTCTGGTATACCTGCACACACAGTTTACTGTTGGTGAGGACACATGCCTTGCTGGTAGACTGGACGAGGTATGGACTAAAAAGGTTTCACAGCAGTGGCAATAACCAATCTTCGACCTCACAAGGAAGCCAGAAAGACTGATGGTTTCGTATCTTTGCACTGAAACAACCAGCAAGGTGAAGGGTGTCTTGACGAGTCACATACAAAGTGGCACCAATACCAGGCTTGCGAAGTGCTCCATCGGTTACTATCCACAATTGATCATCAAGCTTTGGAAGTGTAATTGAATGGGAAGATGAAAGTGCCTTTTTAGCAGCGGTAAAAGCTGTGCGTAGCTCGTCTGTCCACAAAACCGCCTCGGTAGATGGAAGTCTGTAAATGGCATCAAGAGGAGCAAGGAGAGATGAACATGCAGGGATCACCCGTGCCAAAACCTTATACGCCCCAATGAATGACTTCATTTGCTTCACTTTCTCTGGAGGGTGACATGAGGATAGCACGAATAAACGATGTGGGTTTGCTGAGAGTTTACCTTGTGACCGAGTCCAACCCAGGATCGTCGTGGATTTTGGGTTGACTACAGTCTTGGAAGCCGAGAGACGCAGGTTGTTCTTGTGAAGGGCTGACAATAACTTTGTCCAATTATCGAGCAGCTCAGCTGGAGTATTTCCACCACAATATAAGTCATCAGCTAACTAACTTAGCAACTGCTCCTGCTTGTAGGAGTTCGCCCAGAACACGGCACATTAGCTCCTCCAATGCTGTCTCTGAGCCAGGCATGCCCATAGCTGAACGTACGTAAACACAAGTTCCTCTGTATGGCGTAGAAACACCACAGTATTTCATCGATTCTTTGGAAAGGGGAATTTGGTAAAATGCACTAGTAAGATCAGTGGTAATGATGTACTTCCACTGACCTATCAGACGTAAGGTGGAATCTACCTCAGGCATGAGTGAAGGCTGTGGCTTGCTGTATTGGCCAACTTCCCCAAAGGCAGTCACCAATCGTGTCCCTCCATTTCATTTCTTTACTACGAAGGAAAGATTAAGGTAATGAACAGCGATCCAACATCTTCTGGCCATTTAAATACTCCCAACTCCTCCAGCTTGTCGAATTTTTGTTGTAACTCCACAAGTCTCTCGTGTGAATACTGGGGTAAGCGCCTTGTACGTTGTGGTGGCTCGACAGGACCCATGTTCACTTTGGCTTTGAAGGGGCCTGAAGCACCATTGTAGCCTTCAAACTCGGGTTTAAACACAGTATTGAATTGTTTATGAAGATTACCAAACTTAACGAACACATTGGTGGGTAGTAGATGCGCAGGATCAAGATTGATGGAAGTGGAAAAACACTTTTCTTTCGGAGTTGGTTGTGGCTTGGTGGGTATTGGAATGGGTCTCGGCTGCTCATCTGCCTTTAATGGATTAAAAACAGAGTTTAGTTGACAAAAGTGCTCATTGTGCTTCAAAGCTAATGGCTGGTCTGAGAGGTTTGGAATGCGGATCATACCAGCAACACTGGATATGATACAAGGCATGGGCCACAACGGAGATACTTTGGAAAATCAAGCACTTGGGGCATCAGTGCGAGGTTCAAGAGCATACACGTTGTCAGGGATACCGTCTGGCAGTGCTATTTCAATAAATTCACCAGGCCAAATAGTGGTAGAGGTTGAAGGAGCTATGAGAACAACAGCGCATCGTACAGCTGGTGACTTGGTTTTGTTTGATCCATATGTGTAGGAAGTGTCACAAATGAGAACTGTGTGTCGAGCAGGTCTGACGGATATGGCATTAGCTTCCATGAATGGAGTACCAGCAAGGATCTCAACATCCAGATTTTCCACAACCAATCCCTCAAAGCACAGCTCATATTTTTCTCTTGTGAATGTTATGCGAGTTTCACCAATGACTTCCAAGGGTGAATGGCCGTCAGCCTGTCGTGCGGATTGGGAGCTAGCTTTAATGTTGGCTCCAAGTCACTTCACGGTTGATGCACGATTCATGTTGCAAGTTGCTCCACTATCAATAGTGACACGAACTGTGTGATGGCTAATTAATACATTGATGTACGGTGACTGACGCACTTGGACTAGGCGACTGGCAGGAACTGGAAATTCTGGTACATCATTACTGTGGGGGTAATCTTCCACTGCAGCATCATCGAAACATTCTTCATCATCTTCCAGGATAGAGGCTATCTGCCTTGCCTTAGCCATGTACTTCCAGTCTCTTTCAGGGAGAAATCTGCATTCGCTAAGAAAGTGGTTGTCAGGGCGACTTGCTTGTTTACATAAGGGACATGACTTCTCACACAGACGTGTAGACCCAGATTGCCTCATTGCTGGTACAGGTAGACGTCTACTAGGGCCTCTCCTAAATGTTTGAGTGCACATAACTTTTGCTTCATCATTTGATGCAATTTCATCAAGCAATGAGCTCACAGCTTGTGAAATTTCAGGCTTTATGGAAGCAAGAGTTCGGGAGTGGAGTCCGGTTCCATAACACTGTTTGATAAGATTTGGGAGGGCTGGGTTAATAACGCGAAGCCATGTGAGAACAACAAAATTTTCCAAAGTGGGAGAAAGTTCCTCATCTTCTGTAATTTGCTCATTATGATGTGTGATGTTACCACTAGAACTCAGGAGACTGTCCTCGACAAATGCTATAAGACGTTGAGACAGGTCCTCAAGGCGCTTGTCAGGTTGTAGCTTGATGTTGTTAAAATCCACAAAATGGGCACCAGTAGCTTGAAAACCAAAATGCAGGTGAATAGCATTCCATATGAACTCAATTGATATGCTATTTTTCACAATAGTGTTACGAAAGATTATTGGACAATAGTTCGCGATTTGGCCCAACATTAGCTCTAGCATGTTAACTTTTTGCTGTATGGCATTGAGCCTGGGCAATATCATCTCCATCATTAGCAAAACCTCTTAAAGGCTCTGTTTTAGTTTTCTTTTTCCACAAGGCCCCTTCTACGAGGAAAGGGGCGAAATTTGCATCGAGAGATAGTGTATACACTAAGTTTTGCTTCCAGCTTTCGAAAGAATTGATCAACTCAGTCTTTGTCAAACACCACTGCTTCGGTGCACAAATACTCGAGGCCATAATGTACCTGAAAACTGGCTTCCTGAGAACTTTTACTCAGCATGGGTTCTTTATAACACTGCCACCACGACAGTGATGAAACACAACTCGACCCAACAACAGACAGGTTAAAGGAAAAAGGGTTTTATTTAAGACAAACTTAACGAGAGAACAAAAAACCAATATGGTTAGGAGTTAGGAGTTTTAAACATTACAATAAGGAGGCTTTTCTTAAAGACATGTCCCAGGTCCCCTGGTCTGTGATTGATTCCTTCGACAACGTAGAAGACAGTCTTGACACATTTTATCTTCTATTCAATGAAGTGCTTGATCATCATGCCCCCATTAGAAATATAAAAGTCCGAAATCGTCCTTGCCCATTTATGACAGATGAAATACGAAGCCTTATGAAAACACGCGACAAATGGCGCAAATTAGCGAGGAATACCAACAACCCCCTACATTGGTCTGGTTATAAAACTTGTAAACGGGAAGTCAAAAGGGAACTAAGATTAGCTGAGCGAGAGTTTGTTGCCGAACAGATTAAAAATAATCCGAATAACACACGTTGTCTTTGGAAGACTATTCGATCATGCATCCCTAACAAGTCAACATGTCAAAGATCGTTTACTAAGGATGATATTTTAGTTGCAAACGAGTTTAAGAGAGCGACTGTCTACAAAAATCAAACAAAATGAGAAATATGTGGCAAGGCTCAAAATTTTAAATTCGCTCTACTTTTGAATATAAGTTTGACTATGGTGAAGTGAGAAACGTTATGTGGTTAGTTTCTAAAATTACTCTTTTGTTTATGAAAAAAGGCAAAAAATTTTCAGCTGTGAGGACCGATTTTCGCAATCGAAAAATGGCCGAAATTGCATATGTTTACTTAATCCTGGTATCCAAACCCTAAATCCAAATAGCCTTATTATACTTTCTGTTAAAGCTACATCACTCCCTCGTTTATTAATAGTGATTTTATGATAATTGAACAACTGAACACATTTGTGCACAATAAACAGCGACGGGTACTGATTTTTAATGTTTGTCATTGCATGTAAAAAGTGGCAGATTTCTCCATTTGCCATCCTTTCAAATCTTATGGGATTTTGCACAAGCACTATTGGGAAAAATAGCGGCAGGTACAAAACGCAGGTTGCAGGTTGGAATTTTGCAGGTTGGGAATTTTGCAGGTTGGAATTTTGCAGGTTGGGGATTTTGCAGGTTGGAATTTTGCAGGTTGACAGGAATTTTGCAGGTTGATGATGCAAACTGAAAATTAAACTA